GGGTCATCATCGTACGCTGTGGCAATCTTGTCGCCCAGCGGGAGCGTGGGCGTGGTCAACGTCAAGTTGATGCCTGACGACACGCAGACCGCACATTCTTCGTCGTCCTCATCAGCCAGCTGATGTCCTAGCGCTTCACGGGGATCGTAGTCCGGACGCCGAGACAGCGCGTCGGCGAGAATGTTATTCTTGCCCGCTGTAGTGAACAACGAAGTGTACTCGGAGAAGAATGACAGCAACGGGCCATCGTGCGACAAGTGAGGGTTCTTCATCGCTGTCCGCAGCGATGCGTGATCAGTGTAAACCGCAAATGACTGTTCACCGAGCAGGTACACTCTGAATTGGATCAGAGCGTACCGCATTGCCAGGAGCTCCTTGTCGTGGACTGGGTAATTCTTCTCGGCTGGCTTCAGTTGGCGCGACTGATAGCTGTTAACGCGTTCGTGTTCGTCATCATCGAACTGCATCAGCGCACAGCCGATGGCAAAATCGCTCGCGTCGCAGACGACGTGGAATGGCTTTGAGTCATCAGCAAGCTTCAGTATCGGCGCAGACGCCAAGCTCTTCTTCACCGAGTCGAATGCAGCTTGGTGGTCCGATTTCCACTCCCAGATCACGTCCTTCTTCAGCAGCGAGGACAGCGGCTGGATCAACCCAGCGTAATCCTTCGTGTACTTGTGCAAGTAATTGGCCATGCCAAGCCACTGACGCAACTCAGTGGGGCTTGTCGGCGTTGGCCAAGCACAGATAGACGATACCTTCTCGGGATCCGCGCGCACACCGTTCTTGCTCACGTAGCATCCCAACACCGGAATCTCCGGTGCGCAGAAGACACATTTCTTCAGGTTTGCGTAGAGCTTGTTCTCTCGCATCACCTGGAAGACTTGTCTCAGGTGTTTCAGATGTACGTCCACGGCACTGAGGTTGCCCTCAGCGCGGCTGTGCACGAAGATGTCGTCGAAGTAACTCGGCGCGAAGTCTCGAAGCGGGCGAAGCACATGGGAGACCATGCGATTGAAGGTGGCAGGCGCGTTCTTGAGGCCCTGTGGCATCACGAGCCACTCCCAGAGCATCCCACTCGGTGTACTTACGGCGGTGAGAGGCACATCAGATGTTCTCATCAGGATCTGATAGAATCCATCGGTCAGGTCGATGGCGCTGTAGATGACGCTGCCAGCCATGGAGTCCAGTACCATGTCCTTCCGAGGGATCGGAGATTGCGCGGGGATGGTGGCATCATTCAACTTGTTGAATGCGTGAACGATACGCCATCCCCCTGTAGCTTTCTTCACACAGAACGTTGGACTGGAATGGGGAGAGGTACTCTCACGCACGTGACCCGCCTTTCAGCGGCCCTCGAAGAAGTCATCGATCGCTTTCACTTGATCACGCGGAAGTGGCCATTGTCTGGTAACGCAGTACTTCGTACCTGGCGCGAGGTCGATCTCATGCTGAACCCCACGATCCGCCGGTAGCTCGGCGGGGATCTCATCCGGGAAGACGTCGGCGTACTCGCAGGCGGTGTCGTATACGGGATTCGCTGACTCCCGCAAGGCCTCCCAAGACTGCGTTTGGAATCGTTCCTCTCGAGCAGACTTAGGTTCAGCACCTAGCGGACGTGAACGTTCACTGTCCGTTGCGACCGCATTTGCTGCCTCATCCACCGAGACTGCCTCGGTGACCAAGCATACTTGCTCTACGTCTCCGGCCTTGAGGTCCCGAAGAAAGTTCTTCCAGGACAAGCCTGGAAGGCGTGTGATCGCCGCCGCTTCGCGCGGCGGGCTCGCGATTGCGATGCTGCGCGACCGATTCGGGCCTCCTTCCACGTACTCCAGCGCGCTGACCGATTCCATCGGCGGGCTATCGCTGGTCGTGTAGTCTCGACGAGGTTTCAGGCGTCGTCGCTTCGACTTCTTCTTCGACTTCCTCGAGCTTACGCTCGCGTCTGACGCACTGCTACTCGACGATGCATCACCCTCCTCTAGGCGCGAGAGACCGTACTCGACCGGGCCGGGAACACGCGGGAGCCCCTGCTCTACCGCGGCATCGTTTGACGGGAGCCCAATGTGCTCGACCGCCGAATCGTTCGGCGGGAACCTCTGCTCTACCGCCGTCTCGTTGTGTGGGAGCTCTGCTCGACCACTGTCTCGTGTTGTGGGAGCCCCTGCTCGACCATCATCTCGTGTTGTGGGAGCCCCTGCTCGACCACCGTCTTGTGCTGTGGGAGCCGCTGCTCAACCACCTCATCATCTACCTCGCGAAACCGCGAGGGCTCTTCGTCCAACAACGTAGCACAAGCCATGCAGAGAGGGCCATCGCTCGCTCTGTGCACTGCTTGTGTCGTTGCTGTTTTGTCTACGACTGTGACGTGGGGCCAGTCTCTTGGCGCCACCAAGAGGTGTGTGAAGACCTCGCTCACGTCGAATCCACGTCGACGCTTGACTGATTGGGCCAGCCAGTCAGCCTCTGGCTGATATCGCGCAAGCCAAGGGATGCCCAGGATGCAGTCAAACGCGTAGTTCATCTCGATCACCAAGAAGTCGTCCTTGCTACGGAAGCCGTCGAGCGTGTACGACAAAGACACGTCACGCCGCGCAACGCGGCGAGCCTTACCATCTGCGAGTTTGACTTGGATCTCGCCCGGACCATTCCGGACGCGGACGTTCTTGGGTAGTACCGACAAACACTATGCGCGAAAGAAGTTGTTGGTCGCTCCTGAGTCAAGGAGCGCGCGCAGTGGTAGCCGGGCACCGGTGACGTGGAGGCTGACAATGATCAGTCTCGAGTCGCCCGGCGTAGTGGTAGCATTGGTGTGTGCTTGGAGCACGGGAGGGCTCGAAGGTTGGGCTGCCACCGGAGGGCCCGGTCCTTCGTTAAAGCCAGTAGGGCGCCCCGCACCTACTGGTCCTGGTCGTTTTTTGAATGAGCGACCGAGGAGTGTTTCGCGTCGACATTCGAGACGACGGGAGCTGGCGCGCGGCACTCCGCCGCGTGATGACCCTTCTTCCCACAGCGGAAGCAAATGAGGGAGCGATTGCTTCGCCCAGCGCTGCCGCGGTAGGACCCGCGACGTCGATTGCTCGACGCGTCGATCTCCATGGGCTCGGGGGTAGACTCTCGGGCTTCCGCAGGTATGGCTGCGGCGTACGATGCAGCGACCATGTAATCCTCGCGAATCGCGAGTGCAAACGCCTCCTCGAGAGAGGAGGGCTCAGCTCTGGTGAGGCAGTAGCGGGTCATACTCTCGAGCATGCCGAACACAAATACGTGGACTTGCGAGGCCATGTCGATTGGCTTGGTCACGATGCATGACGCCAGATGCCGCGTCTTCTGGACGTAATCACGCATGGACATCTGCCCTTGCCGCAAAGCGAAGAACTCTGCGCGAACGCGAGACTCATCTTGCGGGGGGCTCGAACGCGAGGCGCAAGTCGCTCCTGGAGTGGTTTCCAGAGT